CTCAAACAATTGCAACCCATACTAGAAAGAGACCCTATTCTTAAAAAGCTCTTCCCAGAGCCACCCATCCTAGGCTTCAAACAAGCACCGAACCTCACTAACCTCATCACCAGAAGCAGACTTCCTCAAGTCCAGAACACACCAAAAGGATCCAGACCGTGCCATCACAAGAAATGCAAAACCTGCCAACACATCTCCACCACCCCCACAATTACTACACCCCACAACAGAGCCATCAGCATCCCAGGATCTTACAGCTGCACCTCCAGGAATGTAGTATACCTCATCCAATGCACCAAATGCCCTGATGGAAGATATGTAGGAGAGACCAAACAACAACTGCGCACCAGAATGAATGCACACCGGAAATCTATCAAAGACAGAAATACCCAATTACCAGTGGGGGCACATTTCTCACAAGAAAACCACTCTCTCCAATCTCTCAGTCCTGATCCTCAAAGGAAACTTACACAACACGTCCCAGAGACGAGCCTATGAACTCCACTTCATCAACCTCCTGGATACTAAAAATCATGGACTAAATATAGACATTGGATTTTTGACACATTATAATCTGCCTGGCAACTGACTCCCCAGCCCAGCCCCTGGCTTCTTTACTTTTCATTCCATCCAGGAAGAGCACACACCAACTGCTGAAGCTTCCTTAGCCTGACGAAGGGTTTTTGAACCCGAAAGCTTGCTTAATAACTATTCTCCAACTATTTGGGTTGGTCTAATAAAAGATATCAGATTCACCCAAGGAACCTTGTCTGCACTCTTATTTGGTGACACTTCATTTCTTATGCCTTAGGATATTTGATCCTGTTAGTTACGGGCTGGCAACCTACCACCCACAGTGCAATTTGATTTATCCCATAGATGTGGGGCTTCTGTTCCAGGAGCCAAATTGACCAAGTTAGGGTGAGATTTGGGCGAGTGCTAGACCCAGCCACTGCTTCCACCACTTTTCCCAGCAGCTGCACAGGGAAAGCACGTAGCACCACCACCTCTCTCCCCATAGCAGCATGGGGAGAAGTTCTGCAGCAGGTGCTCATCCCCAGAGCAGCAGGGGTCTTTTGCAGCAGTTGTTTTCCCCTGCTATTGTGGGGATGAGCACCAGCTGCAGACACTCTCCTCATGCCACTATGGGGGAAAAAAAACAGCATTGCTGGGTGTTTTCCCTGCCTAGCTGCTGGGAAAAGCAGTGCTAACTGGTTCCTAGCACTCACTTTCCAGACACTGGCCCTCCTCTGATCCAAACTGGGTTAAATCTGGCCCACAGCCTGAAAAGGTTGTTGACACCTGCTTTTAGTAAAAGAAGCCTGCCTTTAGTCCCATCAAAAGTAAGAGATGGCAGCCATTTTAAAAAATGGTTTAAACTACACAAGCAATTCTGCTTTATTCATAATGCCCAAAATTAAAAGCAACCTTCAAAATTAAAAATTACAATACATAAAAGAAAGGATGCCTGCCTGCTTAGAAGCAGATTTTAAAATAATTTTGTGGTGGCCATAATGTGAGTGATAGGACCGTCTGACTGGGGGAGTGGGGAAAAAGGGGGGCAAAATAATAGTATTACATTTCTCTCCCATCACTGACTCTTTCTAGTTCCTTATTTAAACGTTTTGCCTAAGTTTGGATTTCTCAAAATACTGGAATTTTTATTCTCTTTTTTCCTCAAAGTACAATGCGAAGGGTGGAGAACGGGAAGCTCTACAAGGTACAGAGAAGAATCTGGTTATATTTCCTTGTTTGGAAGCTCAATAGATTAGAATTCATCCACTCATGCTAAAGCAGGAGACATGGAGCCAATCAATACCAAATACTTGAAGAAAAACTCACGTGCTGATTGGCCATCGTGTGATACCACCAGAAGAGTCTTGTAGTGATGTAGTAAGCCACCACCACATCCACAGTGTAGTGGTCATGAGCCAGGAGAATACAGAACATCCCAACTAGGCTAAGAGTCCAGCAAATCCAGTGATACCACCAGAGTCGCCGAGGTGAATCTTAAAGCAAGCAAAAATAATCCCTATTTTACTACAGAAGAATGATATTAACACACAAAAGAAGCAATTCATTAATCTTGAACCTAATAATTTGCAACTACTGGCAATATTATTTATTCTGATGTCAACAGTTTCATAGTTAAATCACACATTACTAGCTTAAATTTTACTCACTTATATTAATGAATCAGCAGTGAATATTCTTCAGTTTAGTATTTAAAAAAATAAAATTGCACAAGCATTGTAGTTAACTTACACTCTTTGATAAATAAGTATGTAAGAGTTAATATAACTGTGTGACCACTATACAGATAGTCACCACACATGTTGTGAGATCCTGTGATAGACAATCCTCCGCCAGCAAGCAGTTTCATTATCCTTCTCATGTGGGATTCCCAGTCTCCAAAGAGCTAGAAGAAAAAGAGAAAAACAGTTTTAATCAAGGTTATTCATACTGCATTGGGAATATGAAAGGATGTGGGTAGTCAGAATTGTAAGAGCGTTTACATCTCCTTTTTGCACAGATGCGTTACATCTTTTTTGGCCTGTTAAATTTGGGTTGTTACTAAGCACATAAAAGGACAAGAGGCATCTCTGTATTTTATACAGGGAAAAACCTCATACTTTACTTGTAGCTGCTTTACAGTGAAAAATATGGGCCTGAGATACACCACCACCCTGCAAAGTATCAAACATCTCCCAGAAGATGCTGAACTATCTTGGCGCCCACTTATTTCAGTGGGTGTTGAGGATGCTTGATAATGGACAGGATGAGGCCCTTTAACTTAACAGATGTGAAATTAAAGGGAAGAACATGAAAGAACACACACAGCTTCCAAGAGCAAGTGACGAAAATCTATGAAGAAAAGAGGAAGGCAGTAAAATACCTAATACGGATCAGTCAAAAATAAAGGAATCTTATTATGACAAAGCATGAAACTGGAATAAAACTTCAGGCAGTTTTATGCTAATGAAACATATTTATCTTTTCCTGAGAAAGTACACAAAGAATTAAAGAAGCCTCCATAAGACAGGACAAATATGAGTTAGAAAGCTCCAAATTTTGCCAGAGGCAGGAAATGGTTTGGAAAGACAGGACAAAAATAAATATCCGGCACTTCATCTATTAATTTTCAAATGTAACAGCAAACATGATGTATTGTTTTGGGTATCAGGTTAAAGTAGCAGCCTCATTCTATCTGTCAATCAACATGCCATGATTGTAAAGTGTCATTTTAGAGTGGTTATGGTGGCACTAAAAGAAGGGGACAGAAATCACTCTCTTTGGTGGGTGGGTGTGTAAGTAACTCATTACTGTACAGAAAAATTAGCCTAGTGGGAACCTTTAAGCATAGAAAATTAGTTCAGTTTTCTTAGTGGGAGCTACATACTCACTGAGAATGTTTTTAAGCCAGGTACAAAGAAATCATGGGACAGCAGAAAACACTCCTGCCAGAGCAGCTGTTCGTGTTTCCTTACAGCTACATTTTCAGAAAAAAAGTGCTCGCATATTCCCACAAGTGAATGGCAAAGGTACTAAGTCAACCAGCCAAATATCTTGAATATAAAATAACTTCCAAGTTTAGTGTTCTTTTCTTTTAGAAGGGAACAGAAGCAAGTCATTGAAGTCAGAAGGTCAAAAAAGTTGCCTTCCTGTTTCTTATTATATACAGCCTTGTCTTCCTGGAGTACAAAACAGAAAGGTGTCCTGGTTGTTTAATTGTTAGCAAACAGGTTGTTTGCAAACCGATACAATTCTGGGCTCAAACACAGAAACACATACAAATCTCTCCCTTGTTCTGCCATGCTACTACAGGAACTAGCACCATATAGGTTAAATGCTTCTTCTACAGAGTAACTAAAGTAACTAAAACCCAATACTATTCACACACCTAAAAACAAAGGAATAAAAACAGAATAACTATAAACCCTGAATGCAAGACAACATACTAAGCTAATCAAGCAGCAAGCACACCAACATCAACCTATAAAAAGTGCACTTAACATGTCAATGTCTCTCTTCTTTGAGATTTCTTGTCTAACAAATATCCTGAATTTTAGCACCACCATAAAAATATATAATGTTTACGAAAAAATAAAATTTTACCTACAGATTTTTTTTACTGAATTCTGTAAACTTCTCTTTTACTTTCCATTTGACAGGTAATAACATTTTAAACAAACTGAATTAAATTAAGCTTCTTAGTGACACTGCTTTTCCTACCAAAGATAAACTTGTAAGATGAACTGTCTAATTTAAAGCATTTTAGATTAGATCGAACAGCAATTAGCCCCTTGGCCTTTTACATGACTTAGTAACAAGTCTCAAGAGATGTAATGCTCTTACAGTTCTGGCTCCCCACATCCTTACCATATTATCAAGATTTCATATGATGACCCTGTGTGGTAACCATATCACTGTTGGAAATGCTACCAGAGATAGATATATAACATTTCTAGCTCTGTTGTATGATTACCACAAGTAGGGTCAGAACTGGCCAAAAGAAATGTGATACTTGCTCTACTATCAGTTGCATGCTCTGGGTCATAGACAGCAACTCATTTTTCCCCTGGCTGTGAAGACACAATGACTAAACAGATTTAATAGACAGGGAAGAGTACATTTCACATATGCAACTAAAGACTTAGGGAGTTACTCCTAAGGCATTTATACATGTGCTCAGGAGGGGGAGGGGGGGGGGGCATTAATTAAAGCAGTTCCGAGAACTCCTTTAATTAAAGTGCCCAGAGCATCACGTGTATCAGCATCCCTATGCTGAAAAATGGCATAACTAAAGCTCATCCAACAAACTTGCTGAAAAATGGAGTCGGGAGCACATTAATTAAAGTTTGTTGCACCTTAACTACAGTGCGCCGGAGCAGCATCGCATTGGAGCAGACTTGATTAATCGTGGTAATTACTGCATGTGCATAGGCACCCCTAGACACTGGTTCACAGGACCAACCAGTGCAGAAAACCTGAAGAACAGCAGTTCAACTGTGTAATGGGGAAAGTCAGCTTCAGAACTTCCTCCCTATGTTCAAAAAAAGGAACAAAAGCATCACTGTATTTTATATGCTCCTTTGAAGTGGCTAGAGAAAAACCTGATACTTCTGATACTTGTAGCACCTTTACAGTGAAAACAAGAAAAGACCATTACTGAGCGGAACTGTTATTTGTTCCCATTACTGTGTCCTATGGATGGTATGGAATTTGTTTCCCCATTAGCTAGTTAAGTGGGATGTACAAAGTGTCTATATGGAGAGTTCTGCGGATGTGTTAGAAGACGACAAGGTCGGTAAGGTGCGAGACTGCTAAGCAAATGAACAAGAAGCAGCCAACTAAGTGGCGGAAGAAAGAGTTCCTAATGCAAAGTGATAATAGAAAGGGATAAATGAAAGTGTTAAAGTGACAAATGATACCCACTGAAGTGAGAATCTAACAATGTAAGAAGCACCTACAATACAAAGGAAAACAATCATAAAAAAGAGAAACACAGGGAGGTAGGCAAAAAAGTATGAGCACAGTTATGTTACTTTTAAAAATATTTAATGAATATAAAGTTGATTGTTCAAATATTATTACTAAGTAGGCAGATGTAGGCATAATGTTTCCACAAATAAAAACTATTAAAAAGCAATTAAGAGTTGCCTAAGGGCAAAACATATCCCTATTTTCATATTTCTGGATATTGGAAATGAAGATAAATGTGAGACTTTAATGCCCATTCACTGCATTTGTTTATGAACCTTTAATATCCAGTCAGAAAAATAAATATGCTCCACAATTCTCAAAGGAGCTTCCCTTGCCACCAAAGGACATACAAGACAGGTACATGTCTGCCACATGCGAACCTGAAAGGCTCAACCTCCTCAGCAACAGAATTTGCCATTACCGCAGACATACCTGGGTAAATGTACAAGTCCTTTATTCATTTGGGTAGTTTGCATTTGGAAGCTGATATTTCATATTGCAATGTCTACTTCTCCCAACCTGGTGCCTGGTTTGTGAGAAGCAGGGTATGTGTACTGTACATACTAGGAGAAAGAAATAGAGCCTGAGTGAGTGCGTGCGTGCGTTCATGAGAGAGAGAGTGCAAGTGGGCACAAGACGCAAGTGAGTGCCCCCTTTTGCCCTGGTGTAGCTCTGGTGGCTCAGATGATTACTCTCTCCCACCAGCTTCAGCTACACAACTGGAGTGGAAACAACAGAAGGTAGAGGGGTGAAATCTTTCTCCCTCTTCTACAGTTGTCCCTTTTTCCCTTCTTATGATCTCCATGATTGATCTCTTCCTCATGACATCTCTCGTGTATGGGCAATATCCCTGTGCCACACTGGGCCAGACTACCAACACTGTCTTATACATCTTCTTTGGCACACTCAAGTGGGTTTTCCTGCAGCTTAGGTGGCCAGAATGTCCAGGCTTCCCCTCCCTCCTTAAGCTTTTGCTTCCTGCCTCTGCTCCTGGAGGCAGGGTAAGGTAGGGCTGGGCAGCAGGAGGGTGCTGCATGGACCTCAAGAGAGGAGCCACGAACAAGAGTGAGTCTTCATTGCTCACACTGTCCATACAGCAAAGAGAAGCTGGGCTTCTTGCATGGCAGGGGGAACACCAGGGCTCTAAGGCCTGTGCTGCACGTGGCCCCCCTGCCATCCAGAAGTTGAACAGCCTTGCTTTAACTCAAATCACAGATCAAAAGAACTAGGGTAGGGGATTTCCACACCCCTGACTAGGTTACCTCTTTCTCTTGAGATATATGCAATGGATGAATTGGATCAAAAATACTTCTGAGGAAAAACTGTCTGTCTTTGGAATGCACTAGCTGACATCTATTTGTAAGGACTATGCACTCCCCCATCTAACCTGAGTTTTAACTCATCCTAGTAAGCTACTATTTTACAGAATGCTCAGAACACAAGATCTCTATTTATTCATTTTTTTATTTCACATGATATGTCACTAGCAAGAAGTAAGGAAATCTTTACATTGTTTCAAACACAACAGGGGCACATTAGGTTGCATGCTACCATTTACCTGAAAGCAGAGGATTACTCTACAGAACTAATTCCCTAATTTTCATGTTACATCTTTAATCTCATTTTAAAAGAGGTTTCACAGTTCCCAGTAACCATGGTAATGGCTCAACAATTAGAACAAATCATGCATGCCTTGAATTAGTCACTATTTGATATGTTTACATATTAAAGACTGATGTTCGTTTATTTTAGAGCTCATTCTCATTTTAGAAAGCTTGACAAAAGGCTTTAGCTGTACTTTGTTGACAGTTTCACAAGTAAGGATCTTTTTAGTAGCCCTAACAGTAAGTAAACAGTTCCTGCATTACCCACAAAGGGACTGTACAATTTGAACTATGCTTGTTTGAAATGACTATAAGTTAAGGCAGGCATCAGTGTGGAAGCACCTACACCTGTACATACTAGGTGCTTTACATACTAGCACAGTTTATTTTTTATAAATTTTGCAAAGCTAGCAAAACTGACTAGGTATTTTTCTTTGGCGAAACGTTCTGATGAAAAATAGAGTTTTCTGAAAACTGAAATTTATTGCATGAAGAGTCTCACTTTCCCCATTTGGGAAAATGGAAATATATATATTTTTTGTTTCACATTGGTCTGATCTGGAATAGCTGCTTATTGAACTAACCCATAATGTCTCCCCTCACTTCCCTTCACCCCACAAATAAAAGGGAGTGAGGTGGGGAAACGTAACAAAAAAGGTAAAACTTGGTACAATTTTTTTTAGATCAGGCCTTTGAAATCAGTAATGCCTTATATTGTTCACCAGTTACCACTAAGTTAACTGACAGCAGTGATAAACTATAAAAAATGTCCCTGACAACTCAACTTGATAGGAAATGTATCAGGAAGGATGAGAAATGCTGTTCAGGGATCTTGACTATCTTAGGTACACAGAAGAAAGAGGAAAAAAAACAGAACTCAGGCACTGAACTGGACTGAGGGAAAAAAGAAAGTTACCTTTGGAGAACAGTTGAAATGCATGCCAGGTACTGGGAGTGTAGTTACATACATTGTAATACACCGATAAAGGTACAGCGTGCCAACTATACAGAAGAATCTTCTGCTAATAATAGACCTGGGGAGAGGAAAAGGAGAAAGAAGTGATAATTCAAAGCAAACAAGAGTTGAAAAACCCAGGGAAAAACATCATGTGAATTCCTATAGCCATTCAAGCTCAGTATTTTTTGATACTTTTTGAAAATCTTCATCAACATTCATGTAATAGTAAAATACTTTGTAAAAAAAAAAAAAAAAGAGAATATATGGTATCTGAATATACAAAAGCAAACTTAGGTTTCATGAATACAAACAACTGTTTAGAGGTACAGACATTACACTCAATGCACTTCAAGCATGCAGTAAGTGCTTTACAGCTGTAACTGAACAGAAATTCATGGCAGAAAGCACTTTAAAAATGGCAGATTCTGCTCTAAGTTAACCTTGGAGAGATGTGTACTAGCTTAAAGCATTTTCTGTTAGAGCACTTTATTGAGTGTCTGTGCCAGATCTCATCAAGGGTCTGACTGCTGCTATCCCAGGCAGTGCTGCGCAGGGCTGTTCTAGCCTCAGGCAGAGATCATTTGCTCTGCCTGAGCTCTGGGTTGGCCCCACCCTCTTGGCTGCCACTGACCTGAGACACTGAAAGCCTGGCTAAGGGGGTCAGGGAAGGGGGGTTTCTGTCTCTGCTGTCTCGGCCTTGTGGCAAGCCACAGTCTGGCTAGGGGTGTGCTGCAGAAGGAGTCTGAGGTCTGTCTCCTGGCAGCCACTGGCGGTGACCCCTCTCCCCAGCCTTGCCCCTCTGCCAGCTGGCAACCGTCAGCAGTGGCTGGGGTAGGGGGGAAAGGGACACCCCCTGCCACGAGGGCTCCCCCACAGCTTGCTGGCTCAGGGCTTGGGGGTAGGGGGTGTGCTGGATCCATGCAGCATTGGGGCTCCCTCTCCCCAGCCCGAGTTTCTGGCACAGCAAAACAGGGCTGGGCAGCTCTGCTGCAGCTACTTGCTACCACTGTCCAGAGGTGGGGTAGGGGGGGAGCCACCCTTCCCCCAAACCATGGGGACCTGGCCCAGCCCCTGTCCAAAGGCCCCAGCTAGCAAGCTGTAGAGGGGCCCTCGCAACGGGGGGAGGGTCTTGTCCCCCAGGGCGAGCAGCCAGCAGCTGCAGGAGGGGCAGCCTGGCCCAGCGTTTCCCTGCATCAGGAACTGAGACTGGGGGCAGGGAGACCCCTTGCTGTAGGAAGGGAGCCCCTGCCACGGGGACCTGGCCCAACCCTTCCCCCCCCCACCGCCCCAAGGCTAGTAAACTGGGGGGGAGCCTCGTAGTCTGGGGCTTCGTTTCCCCCCCTCCACCCCAGCTACTGCTGACAGTCACCAGCTGGTGGAAGGGCAGGGCTGGGGGGCTGCTCCAGCAGCCTCCTGGGGGCACCCCCAGTCTGCTGGCCTTGGCCAGCGCAGGCAGGCATGTCTGTTTAGTTGGAATGCGCTCTAACTTACAGAACTTTAAGTGGAATATTAGAGCACTTTCCATTGGGGGCTTTTTAAATGTTAGTTCTTAGCCATAGTTTTTAGAGATGCAATTAGGCTACAGGTTGAGGTAGTTTCCAAATTTGGCTCCATGCATTCTCTTAACATTAATGCTTCTTAATATTGCTAACATTTTCAACTTAATCATCCAGACATGTTAATATTATTACTGTTATTGTGATTACCAACAAGCAGTAATTAGATATGAAATATTATTAACCCTATGATATGCATTATCTAAAAGAATGAGAGCCCCCTTTGGGCTGAATGCTGTACAAACACAAATAAGAGAAAGATCCTTTAAGAGGCAGAAAACTAATTGTGAGCGGGTAGCTGGGAATGTTGTGTTCAAGGAATCTGGTGAAGAATGAACACAGCTTTATTTATTACCCATTATGTTTGTTTTTTAAGTAATTAGTATTCAAAACTGAAAACTAGCAAAGTATGACTGCAGTTGCTTATCTCAGTTCAAAAGAGGATACAAGTCAGATTAAGCATCCTCCCTCTTGTGCATCTTCTCTGCAGTTGCAAGAGGCCCAAATGACTTTCATTATACCTCACTTTCAGTGGAATATTGTGATCAAGAAAGATGTATAGCAAATGCTTTCCCACCTCTTTTTCCAAGGTCATTTAATTCTGAACAGAACCCTACCTTCCTGGACAGTAATTCCTATAGGTGATTACTCTTAAACTTTCATTTATTAAAAAAAAGAAAAAAGAAAAAAAAGACTGTAAAAGAGAAAAATATCTTCATTCCTTTAAATGTATAACATTTCAAACAACCATTGTCAAGCTGACCTATATTGATTCTCTAATTGGCCAGCTCAAATGATTTTTTGGCACAGTTAATAACCTGTAGTATTACTATCTGACTAAAGTAATTCAGCAATGCTGGATCAACATTTGGGAAAAAAAATATGTATACTGCTTTGTCAGAAAGATTTCAAAAAATAAACTGTAAGCTTTCAGAGAATGTCTTCCTTTTGATACACTATTTTTCATTAGAACCAGAACACCAGTAAGAAGTTTAGGGTTGTAGTCCTTAGCCCCATGAACTACACTGGTGGGGGGCAACCTTTCTGGCAGGTGTGTGACAAATTAGTAGGGCTGTGCGAAGCTTCAGTCTCTGATTCGATTCAGCAGAGATTCACCCCGATTCAGTGGCCAAACCCCTGAATTGAATCAGGAGACCCTTTAATCTCTCCGAATTGAATCAAAACCCTCCAAATCGATTTAGAGAGATTCGGAAAGATTTGGCGATTCAGACAGCTACAGCTTTAAACGTTTTTTCTACATATCTCAAGGTACCAGGAGGCTTGTGAATGCTGGGATGCTGGGGCACATGGAGCATCCCACAGGAGCATGGGGAGGGAGTGGAGGGGGTCCCCAGCGTGCTCAGCAGCAGACCCGGAAGTGGACCAGAACCATTTCCAGACCACTTCCGAGTACGCTGGGGAGTGCACCTGGCTCAGCGACTGGTGCCTCCTGGCTGACTGCCGAGCCGGGGGGGCACAAGGGCAAGCACGCTCCCTGGCAGACCCAGAAGTGGACAGAAGTACAGGGGGCCCCCTGCACTCCTGTGGGGTGCTCCATCTGCCCCAGCATTGCAGTGTTCACAAGCCATGCCTGGTACCTCGAGGTATGTAGAAAAAACATTTAAAACTACATCTATGGCCAAATCACTGATTCTCTGAATCAGCATCAAATCTTCAGATTTGGATTTGACTGAATCGAATCAGGGACGGTGACCCAAAACAACGAATCGAATCACTGTCCCCGATCTGGGCTGAATCTGAATCCGATTCAAATACAGCCCGTTTTGCATACCCCTACAGATTAGCCCCGTACTCTCCCTGAGTGCCACTCTAACCCCTTTCCTGGTTTGATCTGCTACTCTGCTTTTTTTTGCTTCCTGCCCTGTGCACCCTAACCAAGCTGCTGCTCTGCCTTCTGCCCTGTCTGGCACTGTACTGCCTGGGCCCTCACCAAACTTCTGGGTGCCTCACAAAGGTTGCTCATGCCACTTGTGGCCCCCAATGTCACAGGTTGGCCACCCCTGGATTATGCTCTCCCAAGATAGGTTCAAGGCATTATCCATTCTCATTGCTAAAAATTCCATTAAAATTTTATGGGGAATCCTTCCCAAAAATCTAGCCCCTAAATTAGAAGTCAATAAAAAGAATGCAATGGAGTAAAGAGACATTTACTTTTTTACCTTCAGACACTGATTGCTGAAAAAAATATTTTGGGAAAGATCATGCTGGCTTTAGAGAAAGCTATTCCTGCACGGATCATTGCTTGGCATTGTATTATCAGGCCTCTACATATGTTAAATGACAAAAATCCGTTGTTTATAGCCTTCATAGATCTCAGTGGAGACTTTGACTCCATAGACGCATTAAAATTATGGAAGAAACTGGCAATAACAGCAAAAGAAAAAGCTTTCTGATAATTAATCATCACTTACTATTCAAACACAGCATCAAGGGTGCATTATCAGATTGGCAGTGCCCTATTCAATCGTTTCCCAATTAAGACAGGTACGACAAGGATATCTGCTTTTCAACTTATTTTTTAATTTTAAAAGGTTTTAACAGGGAATCCATTCCATACACCCATGATTTTGAATGATCAGATTTTTCTCTTGCTTTATGCAGATGATGCATCAATTCTGTCACAATTCCAAACAGGACTCTAAAGATTATTCAACAGTACTGCAACTCAAATAGCTTAGAAATCAAGGCTACTTACAGACATAAAAAACCCTGGCGCTTTGCTTTAAACTCATTGTGCTCCTGCGCTGAACCGGCACCGTGTTAGATGGGCCCAGCTTGCCCAACATCTGTATAGATTGGGTGATTTAGTGGGGCTTTTTTGAAAAAGAGCTTTTATCTAATAGCTGACTGAATCAGCTATTAGATAAAAGTATAAACAGAGTAAAAAGCTGTTCTCATTCTTCTGGATGAGACCTCTCTGCATCATTCAAATGCTCCCAATCACAAAATATAGCTATCTTGCCTAAAGAAGTTCACAAAGATCCAGAGAAATGTGTTAAAATTAAGGAACCCCCCTGCAAGAAAGATACTGGACAATGAATACTGAAGGGGAACTCCTGACCTTTGGACCTCCCGCAAGGATCAATTTTCTCAGGTCCCATGCAAAATTTATGCACAGCCAATTGGTTAAACTAGTTAAATAGTGTGGGCTGAAGTACCAATAACATGCGGATGAAGCACAACTCTATATTTTGCCACGTATGACCATGCAACTACCACCAGAAAGATTTTGTGCTGGCATAAACTCAGCCAATAGATGAATATCAGATGACTGAAGGTTTGAATCAAAGACAGCACTGGTGAAGAGAACAGCATTTTTGAAAGTTTCTAGCCAAGGAAGTCTCCTTTTTCAGGACTGATCAATAGTGGGTACAACACATAAAGCTGTAGCTAACAGGTGCTCCAAGATTCCTTAGACAGTAGCATCCATGAGTGGTAGGTACCTATAATCTCTGTTTGGTTAGAAGACTAACCCACCCTGGCAAAGATGGAACTGTCC